CTAGATATACACAAACGCGACCAATATTAGGAAAGTATACACAATAAAAAATTAAGGTAGTTTACTGTAGTTTTTTGGCCATATCTTTTTCAAATTGTCCCTATTATTGTCTCTCTCTCTTTTTTTCTTTATCTGATGTTCATCTGATTTTTTTGACTTCTTTTCTTCTCTCTTTTTGTTTTCAGAGAACGTTTTATATAATTTTCTTCACAGATTAAAACTAAAATTAAATTGATGACAAATCGGTTCCTCACATCATCTCCCCAATGACCGTCATCTTCCTCTCTAACTCGTCTTTGTTACCGTAACCACTGTTCGCTCATGTATAGCTGTGAAATCTACAATAAAGCCATGCCTTGTAAGATGGTTTCCAATCTCTAAATATTGAATCTTATTCTGAATCTCGTTTTTGACACTGTCATAACAAACAACAAAGATTTATTTATATACTAAACCCTAATCTCCTATGGATTAATGAACCCATGGATAAATATTTATATACTAAACCCTAATCTCTTATGGATTAGTGAATCCATGGGTAAATATATGATAATCAAATTGATGGCAAACCACCGCCCAAAAAAATCTCCAATTATATTCTTTCTCTTTAATATTTTTTCGCCGTTGGATGAATTTGACTTCGTTGTAGGAAAGAGGAGTATTGGATGAGAAAGAGAGAGAATGGACTAACAAAAAGAAGGAGAAGAAAATAAGGAGAAGAGATTGAATGGTGTTGTCTGCGAGGATAAAGAAAAGAGAGAGAAAAAGTGGAGGAAGAAGAAGAAGATAAGGGTAGTAAAGTCTTTATTTTTTTTATACAGTGCAATATAGTGTTTCGGGTATTTTCCTAATTATCGATTTAGTAGTGTGTATTGAGTGCAATTTCTCAATAGTAAGAGTAGTATACATTTCAGACATAAACTTTGATAGAATAAAACTATTAATCGGATATAATAACTTGACCGTGTGGTTGTTGTCGAATGGTAAGGAAGCAAGGCTGGGATACCAATATGTTTCAGTTTTGATTCATTTGTTTTATGAAACTAAGTCACAATTATTCCTAGTCATCTAATATAAATATTGGTTTATGCTTTAGGACCAATTTAAATATCTGGAGAGAGGTTTTATCTGTGACTGCACCTTTTTTTGGTAATTAGTTTGAACATCTCCATAGGTCTAGGATAGGTTAATTAAAAAAATAATATAATAACTTTCTTTACTTGTTATAAAATAACAAATCAGTTTTGTTGTTCAAAAAATAATAAATCAGTTTTTGTAAAACAAATAAGTAAAGGGCCGGTTGATTTGATTATCATGCGGTTATGGTTGAGTCTCCAACAGGCTTTTCATTTTTGGGCTTTGGCCGAAATCACCTTTACATACCTATGAAAACGGCAAGTATTTCTCTTGTCATTCATCAAAACGGTTGGAAACATCCTCACTTCCACTAAAAGAAATAACGACACCTTAACGTTCTAGCGTTATACACACAAACACCAGGTTATTCCTCCAACGTCAAAGTCGCCTCTTCTCTCATCTTCCCTTTGCTTCCACTGAGAGAAAAATTCTGATTAGAGATGGCAATTATGTACCTAGACCGTGAGCATAGTCCATAAAAGAATGTCTCTAAACGATATTAGAACATAATTTTTTGGGACCACAAATTTGCAGGTTTCGCAGAACGGATTTTTGCGGGATAGGCCGAAACAGGTTATGCAGGATTACAAGAACCCATATTTTTTTTTTCATTTCTTGTTTTACCTGAAAAAAATGAAAAGGAGAGTGAGAAGAATACGGTTCATGTCACTTTCCCTGAGAAAACGTAAGGAGCTCCAGCGATAATGATTCGAGATTCGGTGATGATTATTCGAGCTTTGGCGATAACGACTTCATTTCTGGCGATGACGATTCGAGCTCTGGTGGTGTTCTAGTTTTTTTTTTGTGTGGTAAAAGCGGTGTTTTGATTTGGTTCACTTTTTATTTAGTTTGGGATTGGCAGCTTTGATTTGGTGTTATTTAATTTTTGGATTCAACATAACCTAATACATAATATCTTCTGCAATAATCTTTATTTGGCATGTTAATATGTTCTAGGTGTGATAAAAGTAACTATAACTATTGTTTTGAATAAGAAATAAACAAATTATGATTGATGAATCATGTCCAGTTGAATCGACGACTGTAATCATGTCTCAGAGTAGCCTGAAACATTATGCTGCGTGTATTATCACTTGTCCCGCGGGTCGACCCGCAAAAGCTTGTACATATAGCGGGATGAGTTTGGGCAGCCATTCCAGACCACAGCCTGGCGAGCCTGACCCACTGTGATCAGCTCGAAGAAAATCGCACTGCGGTCCCGGATGAGATAACATGTTTGCCATCTCTAATTCTGATCAGGAATCATCCACGATCCTAGGGCTCCTTTAACCATCCTAATTAAATTTAATTATCGATTATTTTCTGAAAAACCCTAAAGAAAAAGAAGATGTACAGCAATTCAAGGAA